TCAAATCAATAAAGAAAAAATAAATAAGAAGGAGAATTTGACGGTTTTCTTAAAAAAAAAAAAAAAACAACCAACAACAAGAATCACCCAACAAATTAACAGACATAAAATTTGTCCTTGAGAATGATGTTTATTAATACACGGAGTATAATATTGATCTTTCTGTGTCCGAAAATGTTGCTCCGTTTCTGGCCCCCGCCCCCCGAGCTTATACTGTGGTCCTGGAGATATAAGAGCGCCTGTTGACTTTTGTCCCCTAATTGGTGAAAAGGTGAGAAGGCATGAAATCCATATACGTTTCCAGTCATCTGCCCTTTCTGAGTGTGTTGAGGAATTGAGGATAATGTGGTGAGTTGCTGGAGTATAGATATGTTTCTGTGGTACTGAAAGGGCTCCGTCTGAAGGGAACGGGTCCCTGGCAGGGTGCACTACTGAAGTCTCACTTTGGAAATCTTGGGTCGTCTGCCTCCCCACCCTTGGCCTCATTCTACCCGCTGAGTCCTTATTTCACACAGGGTAACAACTCTTCGTTTTCACAATGAATTCACTGCACGTTTGTGTGGTATTTCCAGTTATTCTTTTAACAACAGGCTCTTTGTAAGTTAAAATGTCCATACAGGCTGCATAACGTTCCCCTTTCTAGAGCTCCGTGCAAATGGGAAACGACGCGAAACGTGCCATCTTTCTCCAAGGGTGATCGTGGCTTTCCCTCCGTGGCTCTGGCTTCATTTCACTTGTTTCCTGTAAATACTGGCTTCGGTGTGGCTCTAGGCAGACTTTTCCTGTATCTCAAACGGTGGCTTGGAATTAGTCACAGGAGTAAGAAGATCTCGGTTTGCGTCCTGGCGCCACGCAGTGAGCAGGTGCGGTGATTTCCTTGGTGTGTTCTTCGGTTTGCTGCCAACTCACTGATCTGTCTGCTTGCTTGCTTTCGGAGATTTATCTTCCTTTGTCTACCTCTTAATGTTGGTCATTCTTTCTTTTTCTAACTTAAAAAAATTATCTTTATTTGTCGAAAGTATTGCAGATGTCTGCCCTCCCCTCACTCCCTAACGCCTCCCCCCAGGCCTTCATGGCACTGTCGTCTGTGCCCGCGGGTTGTGTGTGTATATATATGCATATCGGGTCTTTGGTTCATCTCTTCCCGCCCACCACCCCGTTCCCTCTGAGGTTCCTCCATCTATTCCATGCTTCCATGTCTCTGGATCTATTTTATCCATCAGTATACTAATCTTATCTTCTTTTCTTCTGTCTGAACCTGCTCTCCTTAAATGACCTTTTTAATTAACCATGACTTTGTTTTTATTAATTTATTTTTGTTACAGATGTTTCTTCTTTTCCCCCCACGATTCCCCCTTCCCCCTCCCCACCCTGTCCCCAGCTTTGTTGTCCATGTCCATTGTCCATGCACACATGCATATAAGTTCTGTGGTTTATCTCCCCCACCACCCCCTCTTCTGGGGATTGTCAGTCTCTACCCCACTTCCAAGTCTCTTGGAGTACCCCATTCCTCAGACTGTTATGTAATTAACCATGACTTTAACTATCGCCTGATGCGGTGATTCCTAAATCTTTACCTTTGGCCTAGATATCTCCAAGGAACTCTCAAACAGTTTAGTTAATTCCTTACTGGACACACCCAGCTATACATCCTGTGAGCACATCAAACCCATCATGTTAAAAACGAGACTCTTGCCCGGCCAGTGTGGCTCAGTGGTTGAGCGTCAACCCAGGTACCAAGAGGTTGCCAGTTTGATTCCTGGTCAGGGCACATGCCCAGGTTGTGGGCCCGATCCCCAGTGGGGGGGCATGCAGGAGGCGGCCAATCGATGTTTCTATCTCTCTCTCCCTCTCCCTTCCTCTCTCTCTAAAATCAATAAAGAAAATAAAAATAAAAAATAAAAAGTGAGACTCTCTTTAAACCCTTGCCATAAACGCTCATCCCAAGTACTGTCTCTGTAAGTGCGTGAAACCACTCTTTACGGCGCCACACGGGCAGGGGGCATGTCCTCTTCATCTTAGGTCTTCCTGGAGAGAGTCTCAGCATCCCCTTCATTCAGCGTGAGGCCTGCCTCAACCCCCTTTCAGAATAGTCTAGCACACCTCCTCTTCGTCCCACGGTATACTGTGCATACTTCTAAACCAGCCCCTAAGTTGTTGATTTGCATGGCTCGCTCTATAGGCAAACTGTCAAACCCTTGAAGTTCAAGGCAGTATCTCATCAATGTCTTCTTCTCCAATGTCTAGGACAATGCCCACAAAGAGCAGATACCCAATAAGTGTAAATTGAATGAATGAATTAACAAATGAATGACTCAATTAAATTAAATATCCACATATGAATAATTCTGGATATGAAGTAATCATATATGGCGAGATACTATATAGAAATGGAAACTCACCTTGGTAATATTTTATGGCATTCTCTAGTTTTAGGTAGTCAATAAATTTACTTTATCTAGTTAAGTGCTTCAGCTAGTGTTTAAACCACTGTACATGGCTTCTAAACTTTTCTTATCACGTATCCAGAGGTGTCAGGACAATTGTCTCCTGAGCTTCTTTATTTTTCCAATGGAAATAGGTATGTCTTGAATTATTGATTAGGCTGTGAATCAAAGTCCATAGGCATATTTTCTTTCCTTCCTGCCTTGTTAACAGAGAACCACCTTGCACACACATTAACACACCTACATCTCTCCAAATGAAAGTACCGAATGTGTTCTGATGAGTGGGTTTTGGATGTTTCTCTCCAAAAACTTTGCCCGGTGAGCAAACACACATAAATATACACACATGCACATGTAGGCCGGACCCATTAGAGACGATCAGAATAATTTTTAAGAAATTCTCTCTTTATGTTTTATTTTGTGTTATATAAAGACAACACCTCATTCCAAGGCATCGTTACATCAGAATGTTCACTGAACTTCGAGTGTATCGTAGTAAAGACGTGCACTTGTCATTTCCTGTCCTCTAAACCCAAAGACACCTCTCCAAGGCCAGCTTTACTCCAGTTTCTGTCTTCCCTCACTTCTGATACCCCACATAAAAACCTCAGGTACGATGTGGCCAGGTCTCAGCATCCTTCTCACCAAAGTGGGAGACGGTTGATAGAAATGTTTTTCTTCTCTACCAATACCCAACTTGGAATTATCTAAGGAGAAAGAAATGAGTGCCAATTTTGAAGTCATTATCTCATAAGGATGATGCTCTACTTCCTCCAAGTTCCACGAATTCCCTCTGGGGCAAGACTTAGACCCGGGAACCCATCACCATCCAAATACTTAGGGGGTGTAATTTGCAACGTGGTCCCAGGAGTATGTTTGTCCTTATTACTATATGAGTTTCACACGTATGGATCTAGCTGGGTATTAAGTCCATAATACCAGCTCCTTTTCTTCTGAACATCCATCCCCAGCGCCCAGAGAAATGGGGACAGAAAGACAAACATCTTCTGATCTCCTGGTAGAGGTGGTGTCTGTGTGTCTGTGTCCTCTTCCCGTCTACCTCAAGGACCCTCAGGAACAATCTAGAAGGGCTTGGGTAGAGATGGCCTCACTATAAAACCTTTGCAGCTGAGCAGTGAGCAGTCCCCAGCACCTGTATCAGCCTGTGTCGAGAGAACAGGGACAACTCCTGCACCTGCCAATCCTCTCTCCGAGACTGTTGGAGGGAACAAGATCCTCAGCTCTGACCTGCAAAACCTCTCCTTTCTATGCAGTTTCCTCTGAATCTAATATCCTGAGCTAAGACCAGGGCTGGCGCCACAGTGAGTAAAAGGCTTTTTGCAAAGTGTGGTAATTTAGAGAAGCTGGGGTCTGGAGGAAGGAAGGGGTCCAGAAATCAGCAAACTGAATGCAAGGTACAGGGTCACCTGATGGGCAGGCAGCTTTCTGGGCTAAAGATAGGGTTGGAATTTGCAGATCTGGGGTTATAAGTTCCCCATTGAAAGTGATCTTGTATATCGTGCATTGCCTTGTAGCAGGTGTACACTTCTGTGTAACATCTTGGGCTTTCCCATTCGGTTACTCCTGAGGCCACATGGTTGATGGAAAGAGAGAAATAACTTAATTAAATTTCAGGACATGCATATTGTGTGTTACTCCTAATGTAATGTCCTTCATCCATCCATCCATCCATCCATCCACCCATCCACCCACCCATCCATCTATGCATGCATCCATCCATCCCATGTATTAGGTGCTATTCAAATACAGTGAGGCCCAGAGAGCATCTGCTCAGAACCGGGGGAGAAGCCCTGTAAGAGGCTGCGGTGGGATAGGAGGGCTAATGGTATATTGTTAAGTGTTTACCTAGACAACCACTTGCCCTGACCCTGTACCATCGATTACTTTTATGAATGCTGATCAGATTAGTGATGTCCCTCTATTTGTGCCCAGAAGGGAGACAGCCAGATTTTCCCACATGACATCAGGAAGTAGAACACATAATGCCAACCTTAAAAAGCCCTAAACCTGGTGAATACGGAGGAAAATGAACCTCTTTGAAACTGCACTTGTAAACCTCATTCCCTAATTCATTAATTCGCCTGTTTACGCATGATCACAATGTGCCATGGACTCCGCACAACAAGAGCAACTCAAATGGGAGAGGAAAAAGTGGGAGCGGAATCTAAAAACTAAATACATTAGAAAGTAAAACTACCTGAGAATATGGCGGTGGGCCTTTCTCAGAAATAAAATGGTTAGTCATTCTGGAAGACAGTTTATTCTGTGGCTTCTATCAGGAGGATTATAAGTGTGGATCCTGCAATCAAAGTGAACAATAGCATTCATACTCGTTACCTGAACAGATTGTTTTTCTACTGCAGTGTGGATGAAAGGGTATGACGTAATGACTCTGGAAAGGACTGTTAGCTGGGTCAACACACAGTGAACACCACAAACGCCCTCTGTCTATTTCAAAACTAACCCAGGTCTGCATTTGCTCCTCCACCCACAGCACACTGCAATGACCCACACAGGCACTGTCGCCAGGGCATGATGGAAAATCAGACATGGGTCACAGAATTCATTCTCCTGGGATTCCCGCTCAGCCCAAGGATGCAGATGTTCCTCTTTGGGCTCTTCTCCCTGTTCTATGCCACCACGCTGCTGGGCAACGGGTCCATCCTGGGGCTCATCTGGCTGGACTCCCGGTTGCACACCCCCATGTACTTCTTCCTCGCACACCTGGCCATCGTTGATATTTCATATGCTTCCAACAATGTCCCCAAGATGCTGGAAAACCTTCTGCATGAGAAAAAAACTATCTTCTTTGTCCCGTGCATAACACAGACCTTTTTATACATGGCTTTTGCTCACACTGAATGTCTCCTCTTGGTGGTGATGTCCTATGACCGCTATGTGGCCATCTGCCAGCCCCTCCATTACTCTGTCATTGTGAGCTGGAGGGTGTGCACGGGCCTAGCCGCCACTTCCTGGGCGTGTGGCTCTCTCCTGGCTCTGGTCCACGTGGTTCTCATCCTGAGACTGCCCTTCTGTGGGCCTCGTGAAATCAACCACTTCTTCTGTGAGATCCTGTCTGTCCTGGGGCTGGCCTGCGCGGACACCAGGCTCAACCAGGTTGTCATCTTTGTTGCCTGTGTGTTTATCTTAGTGGTGCCTCTCAGCTTGGTGTTGGTGTCCTACACATGCATCCTCTTTGCCATCCTGAGGATCCAGTCTGGGGAGGGCCGCAGGAAGGCCTTTTCCACCTGCTCCTCCCACCTCTGCGTGGTCGGGCTCTTCTTTGGCAGCGCCATCGTCATGTACATGGCGCCCAGATCCCGCCACCCTGAGGAGCAGCAGAAGGTCCTGTTCCTGTTTTACAGTCTTTTCAACCCTATGCTGAACCCACTGATCTACAGCCTGAGGAACTCAGAGGTCAAGGGCGCCCTGGGGAGAGCTCTGTGCAAGGAGAGGTCAGCTCGAGGGACGTCGGAGAGCAACATGGGTAGGGCGTGTCTCCCTGTGCACTACGGTAGGAGGCGTTTCTTGCCTTGTTCTGTCCTAAATGCCATATTAAAATAGACTGTGACAGGCCTAAAGCAATAACCTGAAACCATATAGGCTTTTGAAAATAAGATAGATGCATGTCTCCGTGACCTGGGGTAGAGCCAGATGCTCAGACATGATCCAAAAACACAAGTCAGAAAATCTGAAAGCTTCATACCTTGGGCCTTTTAAAAACGAATCATTCTGCTCATCAAAGTCACCATTAAGAAAAAAGAAATGCAAGTCACAGACCATATGTGTTGTCATATATATTTTTTCTTTTTCTTTTTTAAAAATTTATCTTTATTGTTGAATGCATTATTGATGTCCCCCCTTTTTTCCTCCATTGACCCCTCCTCCCCACTCCCAGCCCCCTCCTGCCTTCCCGACACTATTGTTTGTGTCCATTGGTTATACCTACATGCATATAAGTTCTTTGGTTTATCCCTTTCCACCCCCTTCCCTCTTCCCTTTGAGGTTCATCAGTCTAACAACCAATTTGCACTTCTTAATTCCTTCACTTTTTTCACCCATACCCACAACCCCTCTCCTGTCTGGCAACCAACAAAAAGTTATCTGTATCTATGAGTCTGTTTCTGTTCTGCTTGTTCATTTGGTTTATAGATTCAATTGTTGATAGTTATGTATTTATTGCCATTTTATTGTTCATATTTTTTATCTTCTTCTTCAAGAAGACCCTTTAACATTTCATATAATAACGGTTTGGTGGTGATAAACTCCTTTAGCTTTTTCTTGTCTGGGAAACTCTATCTGTCTTTCGATTCCAAATGATAGCTTTGCAGGATAGAGTAATCTTGGTTGTAGGTCCTTGCTTTTCATCACTTTGAATATTTCTTACTACTCCCTTCTGCCTGCAAAGTTTCTTTTGAGAAATCAGCAGACAGTCTTATGGGAACTTCCCTGTAGGTAACTGCTTTTCTCTTGCTGCTTTTAAGATTCTCTCTTTGTTTTTAACCTTTTGCATTTTGATTTTGATGTGTCTTGGTGTGGGCCTCTTTGAGTTCATCTTGTTTGGGACTCTGTGCTTCTTGGACTTGTATGTCTGTTTCCTTCACCAACGTAGGGAAGTTTTGCGTACAAGTATATAAGTTCTGTGGTTTATCTCTCCCCTCCCCCCACCACCCTCTCTTCTGAGGGTTGTCAGTCTGTACCCTACTTCCACATCTCTGGGTCTATTTTTTCTTTTTGCTGTTCTGATAGGGTGTTTTTTTCTTCCTTATACTCCAAACTGATGGTTTGCTTCTTGGCTTTTCCTACTCTACTATTGATTCCCTGTAAATTATTCTTTATTTCAATTAGTGCACCCTTCATTTTGGCTGGTCCTTTTTTTTATGCTCTTGAGGTCCTCACTAAGTTCCTTGAGCATCCCTATAACCAGCGTTTTGAACTCTGCATCTGTTAGATAGCTTATCCTCATTTTGTTTTGTTCTTTTCCTGGAGTTTTGTTCTGTTCTTTCATTTAGGGCATGCTTCTTTGTCTCCTCATCTTGGCTTCTTCCCTATGATTGTTTCTATGTATTGGGTAGAGTTGCTATGTCTCCTAGCCTTCAGAGGGTGGCCTATTGTAGTAGGTGTCCTGTAGGGTCCAGTGGCACAGCCTCTCTCATCACCACAGCTGGGCCCTCGAGATGCACCCCTAGTGTGGACTGTACACCCTTCTGTTTCAATTGAGTCTTGATTGCTGTTGGCACATCAGTGGGAGGGATTTACTCAGGCTGATCAGCTGCAAGGACTGGCTGTGCCCACTGACCACTGACCTCTGACCACCTTGAAGGATCAGCTGTGCAGGGCCCCACCACACAGAGCAAGACTTACTTTAGCAGGGCTCTGGTACCCACTGAGCTCACTCCTTGAGTGTGTCATTTGTGGCAGTGGGTGGGTGGTAGTGCTTTTAGTGTCCTGAAGCTGTCCACTGGGTGTGCTGGCTCTGGGGCAAGGTCAGCCACTGCCTGTGTTCTACCCAAGGTCACCAGGCATAAACTACAAAGCGATCTGCAGATGGCTGCTTCTTGTGCTGGGCTTGGAGGTGCCCAGGCAAAGCCAAGCTGTGAACCAAGGCTGGCTGTTTTTAGTGCCAGGCCTGGGGCACTTAACGAGAGGTATGGGGCTCACTGAGACCAGATGCTGCTTGTTTGAGGTAATTTAGGAAGATTTGAAGCAGGAGCCAAGACAGGCCAATCCTATGGAAAAGCCACTAGAAACAGCTTGGGTGGGCCTGAAAGTTGGGTGGGGCAGGACCTCAGGGAATCACCAGGGTGGGGCACACAGTGTGAGCCAGGTTGCTGGAGTCCCCGATATGGTGACCCTCTGCCAGCCCCGTGAGGGAAGGGCTCACCAAAGGAACAACAGCCTCTGCCAGCACGTCTGTCCAGGAGAAAGCCACCTTTCCTGCCCTCGCCCTGAGGCCAAACAGCTCTGTTTGTTCTCCTATGTCTCTGGCGCCCCTCAAGCTGCCTCTCCTCTGCACTGAGCTCAGAGGGAACGAGTCTGAGTAAGTCTGTGTGGGCCCTTTAAGAGGAGCTGCCTGGGGCTCCAGCAGCCTCAGCCTCCCTGAGCCTCAGTTCCCACTGGTTCTACAGCCAGAAGTGATGGGAATTCTCTTCCTGGCTCTGGAACCCTGAGCTGGGTGCCTGGTGTGGTACAGGGACTCCTTGCTCCTCAGGAAGGACCTTCCCAGCAGAGGTGTCCTCCTGATTTTTATCCGCCACACGTGGGTGTGGGACCAGCCCGTCCCCCTCTGCCCCTCCCACCATTGTTTGTAGTTTACTTGTTATTTTGATGTTGTTGTAGGAGGAGGTGAGTACACCACTTACCTACACCACCATCTGGACCAGAAGTTCCAGCATATATTTTAAATGTGATGGTCACTCAAGTGTGGCCACAAGGGGAGACACAGGAGAGGCTCAGGGAAAAACATATTCTCAGGGCCTAGAGACACAGAGCATGGCCCACCGTGCAGGGCCCCATGGGGCCGACACCAGGAGCTTGGGGAGATTAAACCATCGCAGCAAACACCCAGGGAAGGGCCAGGGTGCGAGCAGGTGGGGGATCCAATACTACATGTCACTGTGTAGAGAGAGGGACCGTGCAGAGCGATGGTGCAGGAGCTTCCATGGCTGGGGATACTCTGCCCCCGGAGCCCTAGTCACCTCACAGCAGTGATCTCCCTGGGAATGTGCCGCCTCTGTTCCCTGGAAACACCCGGCGCTGTGTTCTAGCGTGCGCTGCTGTTTGCTCCTGTGTTCTAGCGTGCGCTGCTGTTTGCTCCTGTGTTCTAGCGTGCGCTGCTGTTTGCTCCTGGGTTCTAGCGTGTGCTGCTGTTTGCTCCTGGGTTCTAGCGTGTGCTGCTGTTTGCTCCTGTGTTCTAGCGTGTGCTGCTGTTTGCTCCTGTGTTCTAGCGTGTGCTGCTGTTTGCTCCTGTGTTCTAGCGTGTGCTGCTCTTTGCTCCTGGGTTCTAGCGTGTGCTGCTGTTTGCTCCTGTGTTCTAGCGTGTGCTGCTGTTTGCTCTGCTGTTCTCGGTTTCCCTGTCAGTTTGAAAACCCACGTGCCCAGTTCTGACCTCGTGCATTTGTGTCCTTTCCTGCCTGTCCCCTGGTGTTAAATCGTCCCGACACCTTGCTCTGCGATTTGATCAGAAATATCTTTTGCCGTCTTCTCACAAGAAGATTTGAACAATCTGGCTTCCGTCCATCTTACTCCAAACATCTATTAACAAGAAATATATTGAAGTCATTTGTACAGGAAAGAGCAGTTGGCAATTGTAAACTTCAGGCCCATGAAATGATGACTCCCTGATCTCTAAAAGCAACATGAAATGAAAATAAATAACTTTTATCATTTTTACATATCAAACCCTGACAAACCAGACAATATTTTCAAATCCCAAAGCAAATTTCTAAAATACACTGCTTCCATTTGTTTGAATAAAGTAAAATAAAAAAACTCTTTTCTGTCACCAAACTGTAATTATTTGCGGTTAAGCCACGAGCGGGGATGGATCAGCGCAGCTGCGGGGAGAGAGGCGGAGCGGGAGGCGGCAGCAGCCACAGGGCAGGGCCCGGGGACGCAGGCCCTGCGGGCAGGCTCTTCGAGGTGCAGCAAAGCCCAGCAGTTCCGGAGGTGCTGAAGGTCATCGAGGTGAATGTTTCCAAACACCTGTCCGAGGACGGCTGTGCAACACCGACGAGGACCACAGCTGACATCCCCGAGGCCGCGCTGTGGGCCCCTGTGGGCGGTGCCCGTGAACATCTGGTCCTGCGCGAGGCGCTGTGGCTCCTTCACTTCCTGGAGCGCGGCGGCCACAGGGTGGGGAGGGAAAGTGAAGAACTGGCTAAGCAGGCAGATGAATAGAAGCAAATGACGAAAATGAACATTTTAGCTGACACTGAAAACCTTATCTCACAAGAAAGGAAGTGGAAGGAAAACACTAATGGGGATTCTCCTTCTGGTCTGACAGTGTGACAAGCTCTGTGGACATGGTCCTCCGTGAACTGGGTGGAACTTGTTCTAGACAAGCGGCTAATATCTCTGGAAATGGCCCTAAGGGTATACAGTACATGAAGAAATATTTACTCAAGAAAATCTACTTAGGACAGGGCCTTCCTGTGATATCTGAACCACGATCCCCTGCCTCCTCCCCTGCTCAACTCATGGACCAGACATTCCAGACACAGGCAGGCAGACCACAGGGCGCCCCCTCTCCCTAATCCCCATCACTGGGCTGTCTCCCAGGACGGGCAGGACAGCAGCATCCCTTATGCTGCTCCTGGGCTACCTGCTACTGAGGCTAGTTCAGGGGCATTGACTCAGAGAAGTGGGGGATCCCTTCTCCTGCCCAGCACGCACTCCTGGGACACAGACATTTCCTTGGGCAGAAAACCAGCAAAGGCTAGTCAAGGATTTCTGAGGCTGGAGCCCCCGGCCTGACTCCTCTCTGAGAGCCCAGCTCCTACAATGGAGACCACTCAGGGAGGAGTGTGCCATGGTCCCCAACCTAGCCCAAAGCAGTGACTCAGAGAATTTCCTGTAGGTAAAGTAGGTCAGTCATCAAAGAGCTGGTAATCTGTCCTCCAGGAGCTGACCTCATTTGCAACACACTGTGGAGAAATCCAAGCCTAGGGGCTCTCTGAGAACCAGCCCTTTGCAAAGAGGTTGGTAGATTCCTTGGAGACCTGGGCTGAACTGTTGGCTGGCTCAGTTGCAGGCAAGAACTGGAGAAAGAAGGAGCTGAGAGGGACCCTCTAGGGGTCAGAAGAAATCTCAAATACTAAGTAGCCTCTGATGGATTCCTTCAGTGGGGCCCACATTTGATTTGTTTGATCTTTCCAGCAATTTATGCCCTGGATGACTATTGAAAACAAGAGACTGATCAGCCCACAGTTAGTGTGGAGTTAACAGCTGGGCATGGTGAGGGAACAGGCAAAGGGCCCTGCCCAAACCCCCTCATCCCTGGATGAATGGAGGCGTCCCCCAGGTTACACCCCATGGAAAGCTACATCCTCTGATGTCATCACTTAACACTGAAGTACGGTGCAGGGGAGAACAGACTTCACTGAAATAATCCAGCCAATTAATAAACAAAAAACTAGCCAAGCAGGTGACAATGGAAAGCCCCAGAGGTGATGTGGGGAAGGTACAAAGACCTGAAGTCTCATCTAAAATGTCCTGCTTCCAACAAGAATTATGAGCCAGGTACAGAAACAGGAAAGTGTGACCACACTCAGGGGGAAAGCAGACACAGAAAGTGCCTGTGAGAGGGACCAGGGGCTGGATGTAATAGACAAAGACTCAGAGTAGCCATTAGAAACATGTCCGATGACCTACAGGAAACTGTGACTAAAGGAGTGAGGACTGTACCTGTGTGGACCCCCAGGTCACATTTCTGTGGACAGAGAATGCATTTCCCCGCTCAGGTTGTCCCCGCGGGCGGAGGGATACCGGTCACACATCCGTCGTGCTGCCTGCGGCCCTCTGCGTGGTGGTTTCACAGGGACCTGCACCGGGAGCCTAGACACTTGTTATCTGGAATGGGACGAGGGAGGGGAGAAGGATTTGCTGACGTTCCCTCATGAGTGTGTGCTCACACTCAGCACACACAGGGCCCGGGGAGAGTTTCTGGGGGGATTTGAGGGAAAGGCGTAGGGGAGGGCGCTGGTACCACTGTGCAGTTCCCCACGTTATCCCAATGGTCTGTCTTCCCGCCTTTCACAATTGCCCCAGATGCAGGGAGGACCCTCAGCAAGAGACTGCTCTGTGCCCTTCAGCGCTCCTGCCCGTTCCTGGAGGCTGCTGGGTGCCCGTGCTGCCCCCGCTGACCTGGCGCTGCTGTGGGCCATCGAACCGCACAGGGGCCGAGCTCACCCTCCCGAGGCGGAGCCGGGGCACCTCCGTGACGTTGAGAGGAGAGGCAGTGGCTGACAGCGAGCAAAGGAAGGAAGGGGGGTCTAATGTCCCATCGGTGCCTACGAGAGGCTCACAGCTGCACAGTTACACCCGCCGCAGAAGGGTGACGTCGTGTTTGCCCAAACCGGCCTTGCTGGTGGGACCCGACAGGGTCAGGTGGAAGCCTGCGGTCCCCAAGCGGCATTGCACTGGGAGACATGTTGGTCATGTGACATGATGGTAACCTGGATCAATTGTTCGCGACTGGGGTCCTGGTGCGGTGGCAGTAACTTTGACCCCTAGTTTTTAGGTTGCTCCTTCCACACCGGCTCTCTTTTGGGGAGAAGTTTCCAGAAGCCACTGTCCACGTGGCCGCCGGACCCCGTGCTGAACAGTTCTCAGCTGCTGATCACTGCACCTGTGAACCTTGATGATCAGCTGCGGAGAAAGGTCCCTGGTTGAAAGGACAAAGTGCATCAGCTCTCTCGGTGCGGGGTGGGCTGTGCACAGGAATATTTATTTGGTATATTTATTTTTGTGAGGGGAAAGCTATTCAACAGAGCAGAGGACAGTGGGTTTCTGTGGGAACGAAACATACACTTCACATGGTCGGCATGGATCCCTGGGGTAGTGGCCCCACCCCAACAGGAGGAAGTTTCTAGGAGGCCTGTGGCACCCCCAGACTAAATTACGCCTAGGCAGGAGTACAGCTTATCTAACTTTAATGTGGAGACCCAGTTTCTGTGGGGAACAAGTCAGACATCGTACTGACTGGTGCCATCGGTGTGCCGTGGAAATGACAAGCATGGCAGGTGCCCCGCAGGACAACACGAGGGCTTTGGGGGAGCTGGCTCTCGGCATCGCTGGACGCGCTGATGGAACTTTGATGAGGACTGAGAGACAGTGGGAAGAGATGTGTTTACTAGAACAAGCAGATTAGAAAGGATTCTCTCCCAGAGGAAGGCAAGAGATGGGAGTCAGCCTGGAAACGGGTTGAGACCTCAGTGAACTGGGTCGGTGGACTCAGCGGATGGTGCCGGGTATGCTAGGAGTCAGTCCATACCCAACAGGACCTCTGGACCGTTTCGAGGTAAATGGAGGCTCAAGTAACGGTGGGGCACTGGTCCTCCATCCCAGCTGCTGAGCCCAGGGGTGCACTTTGGGGACCTTAGCGACCTTGGGACTTGTTCAGGCTCTCGGGAGGAGCTCGTGGTTTTCACTGATGCGCTGGGACTGCCCTCTCCCCATGAACAGATCAGAAGATGTCACCTGTGTCATTCTGAATGACAGTGTTCTCACTATGCTCCGGGGGAGGGACAGAGGTGGGCCCCGCTTACAACAGCACACAACAGAAGTCAGTTTCAGTACAAGCCTTTAGGCGGAGCTAGGGTAACCAGCTGTGTCCCCAGCTGACCTGTAACCCCGATACAAGTGGACCAGGTCTGAGTATAATAAAACCTGGCCATAATAATGACCTGGTACAGGGCAAGGGCCACGGCTGTTGGGGAGGGAGCGCAGATCCCTCTGGGACTCTTACAGATGTGCCTGCAGTGAGAGCCAGTGTACAGGACCTTCCCCTGACATGGTGAGCACAGGCTTTGCTGCTGAGATCCACACCTGCCGTGAACATGCGGTGCAAACACGGATCCTGCGAGTGGACGCGTGGGAGGGGGGTCGAAGCCTCCCAGGAGGTGACCCCGGCGGAGACCCGCAGCGGAGGCACCTGGTTCGGCCAAGCGTCTGCTCCTCCCGGTGCCCGACAGCGCCGCCCGCTCACCACCTCGCTCAGGGCACCGAGCGCCGTCAGATGGGCACGAAGATGTGCCGGCGTCGTCATGGCTTCGCGGGCAGCTGCTTCCTCGGGTCCTTCCCTGAGCTGCACGGCTCCTCCGGCTGTTGGCGCGGCCCCGCCATGGCTGTCTGCACAGCATCAAATACACGGTCCCGCGTCCGCTGTTCAAATGCTCTCCTGCACGTGGTGCTCAGGTGAGTGGACTGTGCAACCACGGGTTTGCTCAAGTGAAGTTATAAAAATGGAAAATGAAGCCCTGGCCGGTGTGGCTCAGTGGTTGAGCATCGACCCATGCACCAGGAGGTCACTGGTTCCATTTCTGGTCAGGACACATGCCCAGGTTGTGGGCCGATCCCCAGTGGGGGAGGGGGGCATGCTGGAGACGGCCAGTTGATGTTCTCTCTCATCGCTGTTTCTATCTCTCTCTCCTTCTCCCTTCCTCTCTCTCTAAAATCAATAAAGAAAGAAAATTTGAAAAAAATAAAATAAAATTAAATAAAAATGGAAAATGAAGCCCTGGTCGGTGTGGCTCAGTGGTTGGAGCATCAGCCCCCACACTGAGGTGTCACGGGCATGATTCCTGGTCAAAGGCACGTATCCGGGTTGCAGATTCCATTCCTGGTCTCGGTAGGGGTTGTGTGGGAGTCAACCAATCAATGTATCTCTCTCAATTTGATCTCTCTTTCTCCCGCTCTCCCTCCCTCCATCCCTTACGCTCCCTGTAAAAATCAATGGAAAAAATATCCTCAGACGAGGATTTAAGGAAAGAAAATGGAAACTTTAAAGTATTGCGAAGAGTCATATATTACAGACACCATCCCCCTAGAAAACAGGGGTTCCTCTCAAGCCAGAAACTGGAATTGAGGAGAAAACACCAGAGTAGACACCACGCGAGAAATCTACATCTCTTGTTCTTCACGATGTGGATGTAAAGATGTCTAGGAAGGAAATCTGAATAGTGGGGTTAGGATCATTTCTTTCACATGGAACCATATAGAACCTGGGGAGTAAGAAACACAAATAAATGTCACATTAATTGTGTCAATTCCTTTAAATTAGAGAGTAAAAAGCTCAAGTAGCAGGTGGAATAAGAATAAGAATAAGAATAAGAATAAGAATAAGAATAAGAATAAGAATAAGAATAAGAATAAGAATAAGAATAAGAATAAGAATAAGA